TGGAACTCACTTGGTAGCCCAGGCTGGCCTCGAACTCACAAAGATCTGCCTGCCTCTGCCTCCCGAGTGCTGGGATTAAAGGCGTGCGCCACCACCGCCAGGCAAATAAACAAATCTTACAGGGAAGCCTGAAGGTCGCCAGGCACACAGACCAATGGGGGCGGTAGGATTCTGCCCAGGGTGGGTAGCCCATGGCCTGTGCTTTGTCATAGGGCCATCAGCCTTGAGACTTCACAGAGGTAGGGCTGTGCCACCTGACCCCAAAATGATGGCCAGAGCAGATGTGATACATACCTGTCAGTCACCCCAGCCTTCCAGAGAGGAGGAAGTGTTCAAGCTGGTTGGCCTGGGCTACACAGCAAGGCCCTGTCTAAAGAAACTAGAACAAAATGCTACAGAGGTTCAGAATCAATGAGCTCCCATGGTCCAGATACCCACCATCCTCAGTGTCCCTGGAGCGGGGGTGGGGGGTGGGGCTGCAGTGTTGGCACAAACAGCTGGGTGCACTGGGGGGTCTCCAGATCCTTCCAGATTTGTGGTTACAGACACAACCTAAGCAGTGGGGGAAGTTTCTGATTTGTCTGGGTGCTTCTGCCCCCATGTGGCCATGAGTGGAACTGCAGCATCAGGTGGACCCTTGCTCCTTTCTCACAGTCCTGTCTGGGCAGGGCAAGGATCTGGGGGTATATATTCTGGGGTGCACCACTCACATGCTAGCCATTGCCTGACATACCATCCCTGCGAGCGTCACGGCCCGTCAGGAAACAATCCCAGTGAGGTTAAGAATGAAACTTGGGTCAGCGCAACTGAGGCAGTTCTGGGTCAAAACTTCTGGAGTCTGATGCCAAGGGATCTGTTTTTCACATATTTAAACACTGTAAAACTTTGAGGGAAAGTTTCCACGTGACAGTTACCACAACGAAGCTTTAGGCACGGCTATATTGAAACAAACTCCTTTGCGAAGTACATCTCCAGCAAAGTTCCTGTGACCTTTTCTGCGGACTGAGAAAGAGTGTTCAGGATAAGGGCCTGGGGAGGAGGGGTTTGTAATAAGCATGAGGATGGGTCTACGGCCTGAGAAGCGGTGTTCGGGAGTCAGTCTGAGGGATTCGATTTGATAAGGGGTGGCTTTACAGAATAGCAAAGGTTGCCAGGTGTGAACACAACCGCTCGCGGCCTCCTGACCGAAAACTGGTGTCAGTTCTTCCCTTGAAGAAGAAAGCCTTGTTTCCATAATTGTTCAACAATTCTGGCTTTTCTAGTGCTTATCTGTGAGCTCTTGTCCTCTACACTCCTCGTACTAGGGATTCCCTAACTTGCTAGAGTGGTGGTCCTCAACCTTCCTAATGCAGCAACCCTTTAATACAGTTCCTCACGTTGTGCTGACCCCCAACCATTACATTATTTTTGTTGCTACCTCATAACTGTAATTTTGCTACTGTTATGAATCATAATGTAAATATCTGATATGCGGGGTATCTGATAGGTGATCCCTTGTGAAAGGGTTATATGACCCCCAAAGGTCGCGACCCCACAGGTTGCGAACCATTGTGCTAGGTGGGACAGACCCAGGGACGGGGCAAGGAGATCGAAAGGGAGCAGCTTCCATTCAGGCTGCAACTGGCCTGGCGATGAGTGTGAGCTGACTCTCGGGTGCCAGAGCCTCAGCTCTGGGGACCTGAGCCTTAGCCTGCCAAGACCCCACCCGCCCACTGCAGAGCCCTGTAGAGAAAGCCAGCTGAGAAACGAGGAGGCCTCGAGTGACCCAGTTCCCACAAGAAACCGCACCAGAAACCATCCCTAGAGCGTGGTGCATTGGCACCTGCCTGTCATGCCAGCCCTGGGGAGGTGTAGACGGGGGCAGGGGGGATCAGGAGTGTAAAGCCAGCCCAGGCACCATGGCCCCACGTGGCGGAAGGAGAGAACCAACTCCACCCAGTGGTCCTCTGACCTCCACATGTACACCATGGCATGTGTGTGTGCACATGTAAATAATTGTATGTAATTTAAAGTTTGTTTTTAATCCAAACAAATGAAAAACTTCCCCAAACCCTATCTTCTCCCTAAACCTCTTCACCAGATCCAAGCCATTGCTTTCCCAGATCCTCCACTGGACTCGGAATTATTATTATTATTATTATTATTATTATTATTATTATTATTATTATTATTTTATTCACAGGGTCTCACTATGTAGCACCAGATGGCCTGGAAAATCTCTGTGTAGACCAGGCTGGCCTCAGACTCTGCGATCTCCCTGCTCCGGTCTCCTGAGTGCTGGGATTAAAAGTGTGCACCACCACACCCAAGCCCCCCATTGAATTTACCACTCTGCCTTGCTGACCTGAAGCTGTTCAGTGAACCCCCAAACTCCCTCCCTTCCCTGTGGTACTTGAGGCAAAGCCTCACCAGTCTTTCAGCCTCCCCCACTTAGTGAACCTCGTTCAAGAGGCACCAGCTGCCACCAGATCTTGAAGGAGGCAGACAGTCCAGGCCCCTGTCACCTGCACCTGCCCCTTTCTCAGGCTCTCGCACCGCCTCCTCCCCCACAGCCTTCTCTAGAGGCCACTGGGCATCATCTGGCCACATCCCAGCACGCCCACACGTCTTGAGTGGTTACTTTTCCATTCCAGCCTCTGGCCCTGAGCTGCTAGGTCCTGAGAGCCACACTGCGGGCCGTGGAAATCGGGGAAATGGTGGAAACACTGGAGGGTTGTGACACTCTCAGTACCTCCAGGTCTCCAGTGCATTCTGGACGTGGGATGAGCAGAGGAGAAACCTTACCTGCATCCCATCAAGCTCCCACCTAGGATGGATCTCATCTCCTACAGAGCTCCAGCCAGGGTTCTCTTCTCCAGGAAGCATATCACCCTGCTGGACAGGAAGCTCCCTGTCCACAGGGCATACACATAGCAGGTGCTTAATGAATTTTGGGGGAGTAATGAATGAATCCATTTTATAAATTATATATTATATATATAATCGTGCCAAATAAAGCACACATCGATAAACAGGCAAGTCAGTACGGTGTCAAGCCCTACCCCACAGACACAGGAAATCCATCAGCCCCCTATGACAGCTTTTGCAGTCTTTATTATCATGACTAGAAAATACGTCAGCCCACCCAGTGTCAGAGTGTGGGCCAGGGCTAATAGCATCCTCTGCCCAGCCGTTCCCTGCACCAGAGCCAGGGACCAGAGTGCCAAAGTGATTCCTGCCCACCCCGCCAGCTGCTCTTGAGAAATGGTTGCTCATAGGCATGCTAAAGACATCCAAGGGCGGTGCCAAAGCCCTTGAGAGGCCCAAGAGAACACTTTCTATTTCTTTAAAATCAACAGGAAATGGAGCTGGAGAGATACCTCAGTGGCTAAAAGCATTTGCTGCTTTGCAGAGGACCCAAGTTTGGTTCCCAGCACCTACAGAGCAGCTCACAGCCATCTGTAACTCCAGTTCTAGAAGATTTGATGTCCTCTTCTGGCCTCCTCTGGCACCAGGCACACACGTTGATGTACAGATATACATGTAGACAAACATTCATACACATAAAATCATCTTTACATTTAAAATAATAATAATAATAATATAAAATCTGCAGAAAAACATCCAAATTGAGTTCCAGTCATCTACAAAGGCAAGCAGCCCTGGAGTTTAGATCAGTATTCTGATGGAAGATAGAGGCCCTGTGAATTCACTCCGTCTTGGAAACCCCATACTTCTGGCCAACCACATCTTCTGCCCAAATTAAACAGTAATTACCAAGGTCAGGAAAAGGCCTTGTCAGAACAGGTTTGTCCCCAGAGTGAGCTCAGCTTTGACCCCTGTGACTTCACACCGCCCCCCCTCGTCCCTATAAATGCCCAGCCTGCCTCTACCCCGGCCAGTCCTGAGCACCCGACCATGTTGGGAATTACAGTCCTCGCTGCCATCGTGGCCTGCGGTAAGCTGAGAGCGGGGGACAAACTGCATCCAGCAGGCTATAAGATCAAGCTGGCCTTGGGGTGTCCTCTGCTCCCCAAGAAAGGCACTTTGGGGGCCTGTGTGGGTTCTGTTGTGTCAGTTAAGCCACTTCCAAACTAGCAGGTCCTGGAGAAGGGGTGAAGAGCACCCTGTAAGGTGTGAGGCTTAGACGGGGGGCCCTGAGCAAGGCCCACGGTAGGTGCCTCGCGCGGCGTTCACTCCGGGGAGCCACTGGGCCAGTCTTTCCCATCTGTGTCTCCCTCTCCAGGGCTCTTTCGCTCTCCCGTTTTGGTGGCATTCTCCCAGATTTCAAACTGAAGGGTTCAATAGGATTTGGGTTGGTTTGGGTAAAGGAGAGCACTTGATCAGGAGTGGAGCTGGGTTCTCTAGATGCAGGAGCAAAGTGGACCATATACAAGTATTAGGTTTGCCACATCTCCATTCAATGGTGGGAACACGGAGTGGGTCCAGGGATGCTCAGTACCCTGCCTCAGGGTCACATGTTGGCTCACAGCCGGAATGCCAGCCCCCTCTGCCTCACCTCAGCGCACACACTCTCAACCATGCCACACGACTTCCTAGACATGGCAGTGTGGGACTCTGTGTAGTCCACACTGAATACTCCCCCATACACACACTGTACTGTGACCCACAAAAGGCATCCTTCGTCCTTC